CTTATGCACACGTGTACCAAAATTGCCAAATTAAAAACCACTGAGTGCATTTTTAATAGTAAAATCACCAAAATTAAGTGCTCTCAAATATACAGTATATATACATGTACATGTACGTGTGTAAAAGGAATGTCCATTATATATTAGTCTTTGTTAGGACTGAGCTTGAAGGTACAAAGAAGGTTCCGTTTTTTGGTGAACCAGCTATTATTGTCAACATTGATACTGAAGACACCTGCACACATGAAGTAAGGTGATTCTCAGCATGACGATTATTATTGAAGAAATAACTAGTGAATCAGCTTTTTAGTTTTAACTTTTGAGCACGTGTATACATGTATTTAACAATGTTTTTTCATTTGCTCTTTTTCAAGGTTTCTGTTCCTGCAAATTACAAGTTTGAGTCTTTGAAACCGCTGAACGAAAAACCTGCGAAAGTATGTCACATGTGCTACTCTTAAAGTTATAAATAACTTACATATGTACACGTACATGTATATGTATGTATATGTACGTGTGTGTATTGTATGTGTAATCCTACTAAGTGAAATAAATGAATTATGCTACTACAGTTGTACCTGCAATGCTGCTATTCACATGTGTACTTAATTCTATACTAGCTTCTACATCTACTTGTACATGTATCTGAACTATACAATGTACTACATGTACATGTACATGTACATGTACATACAAATTTAAACAATGTCTGTAGCTTTGATTATGTGTCCCTTTTAGGAGTATCCGTTTAAATTGGATAGTTTCCAGAGGAAAGCCGTCCAATGTATTGAGAACAACCAGTCAGTCCTAGTCTCAGCCCACACCTCAGCAGGGAAGACTGTTGTAGCAGAGTATGCCATCGCTGTATCACTGAGGGATCGTCAACGTGTCATTTATACTACACCGTTGAAGGCTTTGAGTAACCAGAAGTACAGAGAGATGTATGAGGAGTTTAAAGACGTCGGACTAATGACCGGAGACACTACCATTAATCCAACAGCATCGTGTATTGTCATGACTACTGAAGTAAGTATATTGTGAGTTATTATTAGTAAATGTTGTTATTATGATAATTCTTTGTGTTTAATTTCATTAGATATTAAGGAGTATGTTATACAGAGGATCAGAGGTGCAGTAAATAATGTAGTTATGCATGTTCATGTACTA